AAGATCTTTTGCTCGATGTCGAAGTGGCGTTGAACAACAGACCCCTTAGCTACGTCGAGGACGACCTCCAATTACCGGTGCTGACACCCAATTCCCTAATGTTCCACCGACCTAATCAAATCCCTACACAAAATTACCGAGATATTGAAGAAGCAGATCTCAGAAAGACCGCGAAACGAATCGAAAAGTGCAAAGATATGATGTGGAGAAGGTGGACGAACGAGTACGTGAGAGGATTGCGAGAAAGGCACAATCTTAAACACAACAACAAGAAATTTACGTTGAAAGTAGGTGATGTGGTGATCATAAAATCTGATGAACGCAACCGAAACAAGTGGAAATTAGGAATCGTGGAGGATTTGATTGCAGGACGTGACGGAGTTGTTCGTGTAGCGAAATTGCGAGCAGGTAAAAGTCACCTCGAACGTGCCGTGCAGCATCTTTACCCGTTAGAACTCTCGTGTGACGTGAGCAAGCCCAAGAAGAACACACAAGATCTTGACCCAAATGCTCAAGCATTCAGACCGAAGCGAGATGCTGCTGCAGCTGCAACGATGCGATTGCAAGACATCGCAGAAAATGAAGAGGATCAGTGAAAAAACTGTTGTATCATGAATATGGTAACTTGTCTGAACTTGAAGAACAGGTTTTTTTTTACATTTAACATTATTATAACTCGTTTTGTTAAGACATTTAATTATATTTGCACACTTCGTGTAGCAAATAGGGGGAGGGGGTTGGAAAGTTGTTAGGTTTTCATTAATTAGTTGATAGACATTATATATTAAGTAATCGAATTTGAACTTTTAATTGTTGAACATTTATATATAGCAGGGCATTGAGAAATATGCAGTAATGAGATCAAGATAAAATACGGATGATTGATAAGATAAGTATGAGAGTGTAAAAAGGAGTGATAGTGTGCGAGAGAAGCGAGAGAGAGAGGAGTGATACGTAACCGCGAATAAAAAACTATATAAAACGAAACTCTGTGAGTGATATTTTAGTGTTGGGAAAAAGCAATTCCCGATATGGTGTGCCCCTGTTTATCCATTATTTAATACTGCCTATCATACAACAACCAAAACAACAACAACTTTTAAAACAACAATTACGACAACAATAACCTAAGCAACAACAGGGAACAAATGAACACGTATATGTCACACTTTGCGCAGCTACATGTACGCTTAGCGTACCTATTTTTATCGAGCATGTCTACCGTGATCCTCGGGTGGATTGGACAACCACACCCTTAAATGACTCATTGTCAATATCATTATCATTATCAATAATAAAGGGAATATTTTGATATTCAACACAAGCGTGGCCTGCATGTGTTCTACTGGATATATCAAAATCGCCTCTTGATAACCGCTGGTAATTTAAACATAGATTAATCTCAATATAGTGTTGATAGAACTAAATCTCGCTCAGAAAGATGGCATTCTGAGAGATTTAGTTCTATCAACACTATCCAAGTACTGGGCAAGAATAAATAATCCACCATTATGACCATATGACCTTGGTTATAATTGAACTTGTCGCATACGTGCAAGTTCGTTCATCTCTTGATGTTTTGGTTTCCATTTTCTCTGATGTTTTGATTGTCATGTTCTCTGATGTTTTGGTTGCTATGTTGAGCACCTGCGATAACAATCTCGACTTTCAAATCATGACCACTGCTTGCACAACTGGCCAGTTACAATGTCTTTCAATTCTCATATGATTGAGCATGACACTTTGCTTCATTTTATTTTCAACATTTCATCTTGCGTAGAGCGCGAACTTTTCTCAGATACGGGTGTGAATACACCGGTGTTATGTACTGTATGACACTAGTAAGGTAGCTTTTAACTAACATTTCAACTTTTTTAATATGGACCAATTTTTAATTCCGTGCATCAACTGTTTCATCGTTGTAGACAGTACGTTGCTTCTGGGAATCACTGTACAGTACACCTAATAGAAACTACCCAGCTTCAATTCTGAACAAATCCTATCGAACAACTTTAGGAATATTATTATAAATGTTATTGTAAGTTTTATTCATGAAATAATTTTTATCAGACTGGTAAAGCGCTATTACACCTATACCGAAATAGAGCTATAATAACGGCAGGCCAGAGTACCTGAATTTGGAGGTAAAGTAAATGCACGCCGTTGTTGTGCAAGGCTACATATAGTTAGCAATCTAGCCTTGTAGCAAAAACCGCAAATGCAAATTGGCAAAACAACAGAGCAACGAAGCACTTTAAGTTAGCAGAACAAACGCATGATACAACTGATAGATGTTAAATGGACCATTTGCATTATAGACTAACTTTTGATCTAGATAAAAATTTCATCACAGCTTAAAAGAGCATTACAAAATTAGTAATATTCCACAGTTTCGTTGCGAAATGATGTAAAATGCGGATAATATAGCCATGCGAAGTTTGCCGTTTTTCAGTCATTTTGTATTACGCACGGGAAATTGACAGCCCAATCGGGTGTTGGGGCATCAATTGCCCGTTTGTAATACAAAATGACTGAAAGTTGCAAATTTCGCAAGGCCATATTATCCGCATTTTACAAAATTTCGCAACGAAACTTGGGAATATTACTAATTTTGTAATGCTCTTTCAAGCGGTGATGAAATTTTTGTCTAGATCAAAATTTAGTCTATAATGCAAATGGTCCATTGTAAGGGTAAAGTTCTACAGTACTTACCTTCTGAAGAACGAACGGCAAAAAAGTCATCTCCTGGTGCAGGTTCAAGTAATTCATTGCTATCTTGACTTACAGTTCTACTTTTTAATGGAGGTCGTGAAGTTGGGGTGAGGCCGGTGGGTGGTGGGGTGCCAGGCGGGGTTGCAGGGGGAGTGCCTGGGGGTGAGCTTGTTGGCGAATCCCCTGCAGATTCATTAGTTCCTGAAGCATCATAATCATTGGGTGATTCTAAATCACTCTCATCTTGACTGTCTATACCATCGTCACCATCAGACTCCTCATCCTCCCGTTCATTGTCATGGATACCAACCAATAAACTGTAATCCATTATCTTCTGCTTGCACAAGAACTACAGTTTAAAACACACAGTCAGTGGAAATAATAATAAATATTTCGATGATCCATAGCAATAATGTACTTAAGGTTACAGAACACCCTTTTTGGCGTTTTGCGGAAAATCGCTACTGCGCGCTCAATATCAGTCCGATTTGAATCAAATTTTCACCAAATGTTCGCCAGTGTATGCACAATATGGTAAAGTTGTAAAATTAACAAACAAAACAATAAAATAATATAAGAATTATTCAGGAAAATCTTAAATCGCGGTACCGTTACGCTTTTGAGTTGTGCTCCTGCTGGTTTTAAGTTATATTTA